CATCTTGTAGTCAAAATTGCCACATAATTTAGTGAAGCACTTCAAGTCTTTCTTGGCCATGTGCACTGACGACACTGATTGCTTGAGTTCTTGAATCATTCTTGAAGGAAGCTTATCGTTCAAGTTCCATGAGCTGGAGTTCGTCGCTTGCTGATCTTATTCATCATTTGGTCAAAGAATCAGCATGTCGATTGGTAAACCTGTTGAAATTCCACATCAATTTCATCATGCTAGGGAAATATCCTTCAGTGCGAATGTCCCATCTGTCTGTCGAACCATTTCTTTAGCGCTATCGTATTCGGGAATTATGCTTTCTCTTCTTAGAAGGAAGTTCCACTCCCAGCGTACCATCACCATCCATCGATCGGATTCGAACACGGCCCCTTCCCCCTAGCTGCATGTCTTCGGGCGTTCTTGCTGAATGAGTTTCACATAGTGTTGAACTATGTTCAACGAACATAGTGAAACGAATCTCTGTTCTCTGTTCTCTGTCAAACGAAATTCGTTGTTCGTTGAACTAAATGAGTTTCACATAGTGAGAAACAGCCGTTTTACCGTTTTACTTTGGCACATGAGGTGGCGGGTTTGGCTAGGTAACATAATGGAAATGTATCGGACTGCAAATCCTGGAATGACGGTTCGACCCCGTCCTTGGCCTCGGGGAGTGGCGAGCAGCACGGAAATCAAATGGTAGAGAAATGTAGCGGTACGCCCTAAAGTCGATGGAAAGATCCATGAGAATGTAGTAAGCCAGAGTAAGATGTATGAGGGAAGAGTCTTCGAATTGATCAGAATCTCGATAGTTTTTCTACTTGGCATTGATTTCTTATACTCTTTATCCCCTTACTTCCAGTGGATGATTAGTCCACGGGAGCCATAATGAAGAAGGAATAGGGAAAAGGTACGAAGTCACTAGAGTGTAACGATTCGTTTCAAATGAGTTGAACATAGTGAAACTAAATGAGTTTCACTATTCGTTGACAGAGAACAGAGAACAGAGATTCGTTTCACTATGTTACACTCATTTCGTTTCAAATGAGTTGACAGAGATTCGTTTCACTAGAGGACGTGTCTGATGCCTCCCCAGTAAGCTCCAATGGTTTGGGCTTCGGCCCAAATTCAATATCTTCTTTTCAAACTTGAACTGCATTTTGGTCATTTTGCTACATTTTTCTCCAAAAATAAGATATCTGATAATTTGGGATAGGAAAAATAAAATAAATAATAGAATGCAAAAAGAATGATTAAAAGCTACTATTTTTGAAAGAAAATAAAAAGATCGTAGAAAATAAGAATTAAAATAAAACTAAGCTAAACAACTAAAAAATAGTGTAATCCCCAGACAAATCCAACGCCCAGTACCATTGGTCCGTAAGCGCTGAGGATATCAGGACCTGAAGAATCCGAGCTCTATCATCTTCAGAAAACCAGTGCTGCAACATATCCAATTTCCAAGTGTTAGCGGAGTGATCAATGAGGAACGAGACTGGAAAATCGGGGCAAAAATCTAGTCGGGGAGTAGAAATAGACGGGCTCGATTTATCCCATAACCATGTGTGACTCCAAACAAGGGTCTCACCCCCATTCCCAATTCTTTTTCTTCCTGCATCTTTAATGAGACTTTGGGCTTCCAAAATACTCCTCCAAACAAAGCTTGGGTTAGGGCCAATCTTTGCTTCTAAAAAAGACGTCTTCGGAAAGTATCTTTTCTTGAAAATCTTAGCTGTTAATGACCCCGGATTAGTTAATAATCTCCACCCTTGCTTGCCCAGCATGGCAATATTAAAGTCATGGATATCCTTTAAACCAAGCCCCCAAACTTTTTTGGACTTGTCAAATGCCTCCACGACAACCAATGAATATTAGAGGAAGCATTGCCACTAATTTGCCACCAAAACTGGTTCATAATTCTTTCAATCTTCTGGCAGACCCCAATGGGCAGGAGGAACACACTCATAGCATACTGTGGCATTGCTTGGGAGTTGGGCCACTGTTTTCAGTAAGATCTCCTTTCTCGCTTTAGAGAGCAAACATTTATTCCATCCACAGGTACAATGGTGGATCTTGTCTAGAATAAATGAAAAAACCGTGTTTTTATTTCTGCTAATGCATGAAGAGAGACCTAAATATTTCCCAAAGTCATCTGCCAGAGTCACACCAAAAAAACGACTAATTTCCTCTTGAACCTCATGGAAAGTATTAAGGCTAAAGCAGACCGTTGACTTACAGAAGTTCACTTGCTGTCCCGAGGCTACCTCATATTCCTCCAAACATTGCTTCACCACGCGGGCCTCCTCCATGGATGCTTTAAAAAGGAGTAGGCTATCACCCGCAAAAAACAAATGAGAAATAGGGGGGCTCCATTGGCCACCCTAACCCCATGAATCCTTCTCTCTGCCTCCGCCTTCTTAAGTAATAGTGAAAGTCCTTCCGCACATATTAGAAAAAGATAAAGACTCAAGGGATCCCCTTGTCTCAGACCTCGCGTCGGAGAGATAACTTCACTGAGAGTTCCATTGACAAGAACCCGATATCTAACCGATTTCACACACATCATTATGAGTTGGATCCAAGCTTCGTTAAAACCCAACGTACGCATCATAGTCTCCACAAAAGTCCAGGACACCCTATCATATGCTTTGGCCATGTCAAGCTTCAGCCCTACCCATCCAACTTTGCCTACTTGTTCCCTTCGAAGATAATGACCTATTTCTGCAGCAAGGAGGATGTTGTCAGATATGAGTCTCCCAGGTAAGAATGCTGACTGGTTATCCGAGATCAAACTCTGCAGTACAGGCTTCATTCTGTTCGCCATGATCTTTGCAATTATCTTATAGATTACGTTGCAAAGAGCTATTGGTCGGAGATCTCCCACATTTTCGGGGCAGTGCTTTTTAGGAATCAGAACAAGAGTAGCATCTCCAAGGCCTTCTGGGATAACCTTCCTGCGGAGACAATAAAAAACAAAGTTAGATAGCTCTAGGCCCACCTCCTTCCAACAGTTTTGGAAGAAAGCTGGGTTGAGCCCATCGGTTCTGGGGATTTGTCGGGATGCATGGAAAAGAGTGCATCCTCAATCTCCTGCCGATTAAATGGGCGGTGGAGCTCAGCATTTTGATCCTCCTGAAAACGTGCATGATCCACCTCTGTACACCACATGTCCATAGCGTTCTGCCGTCCCCTCCTATTATTATCTTTGAAAAAAACTACAAAATAATTATAAACAAAGGGCATCAGCCTTCTCCCTTCACACCAACCTCCCATACCATCGCGAAGTCGTAATATGCGGTTCTTTCTCTTCCGATGTGAAGCATAATTGTGAAAAAAATTTCTATTCCGATCACCACAGGAGACCCAAAATTGTTTGGCCCGTTGTCTCCAATAGCAATCCTCCCGTTCCAACGTCTCCCTCAAGGTTTTTTCAACTTGCTTTCTTACAGCAATTGAAACCGAATCTCTACAGCCGCGCATAGCCTCAAGTTTCCTCTTAAAAGAATCAATCTTCTTACCAAAATTGTTGAATCTATCACCACCCCATCGTTTCAGCTCCTGTCCGCAATGATTGAGCCGATCAAGAAAAGGTGACCTTTCCCATCTGCTCCAGGCATCCTCAAAAGCTTTTTTGAAACCTTCATCTTTGAGCCAGCAGTTCTCAAATCTGAAGCTTCTAGCCCTACCCTTCTCAACGACTCCGTTGAACGAAAGGAGAAGAGCTGAATGATCCGACCAGGTAGTCATAACATTATACAACGAGAAGCTGGGAAAAAGTGATCTCCACCCATCTGTTGCCACGGCTCTATCAAGACGTTCCTCCACCCAATCCGGGGTATTTTTCCTCCATTCCCAAGTAAAGGGATAGCACATACCAAGGTCCATCAACTCACAAAAAGATAAGGCTTCGTTAAAATCGTCAATAAAGCAAGGAGGTCTGGGATTACCTCCCTTCTTTTCCCTCGCAACACATATGTCATTAAAATCACCCATGACCATCCAGGGGAGAGTGGACCCTCTTTTCAGACTCTTAAGTAGGTTCCAAGAATCTAACCGTTGGCTCCATCTGGGATGACCGTAAAAGCCTGTAAATCTCCATGGCCCATTTCCTTCGTTATCCACATTGACATCAACATGATTCCTTGAGTAAGATATCAAGCTCACTTTGCTCTCTCTATTCCAGAAAAGAGCTAGTCCGCCACTTCTTCCAGAGCTATCAATTGCAAACAAAGAGTCAAACCCCAACTTAGTTTTAACATCCTCTAATTTCTTCCTAGCACACTTAGTCTCCATGAGAAAGACCAAGTGGGGCCTTTTGGTAGTTACCAAACATACCAGTTCTTGCACTGTCTGGCGGTTGCCCAACCCACGACAGTTCCAACTTAGGAGACTCATTGGTCTCGGCAGGCCTGGAGACCAGGACCCACCGTTGGTAACATATGTGCATTCTCCGGAACTGATGCATTCACCTCCACGATCATTTCTTGATTAGCCCTTCTCTTTCGCCTGGCTGTTAAACCTTGAACTTCTTCACCATTTTGTATGGTAGTGTCACTCGAGGAAATTTGCCCCACCCGGTCCCCCCAGCCTTCCTTGTCATTGCGCAACCACCGTGCACCTATCTCAGCAACTTTTTTGCGCCCAACTCTAAGTTCATCAGTGTAAGGCCAATTCTCAATTAGAATGTCCGACTTGACTGCCGCAGCACAATGCTTATGAAGATGCCCCAGGATACCACAAAAATAGCAGAAATTTCCAAGTCTTTCGTACTTGAATTGGACCCACGAAACTGTGTTGTCCTTTTTAGTCAACTTCATTTTCCTCTTCAATGGGCGACGCACATCAATTCTCACCCGGATTCGTCGGAAGCTCTACGGGATGTGAGAAGCGTTCTTCTCATCCAATTTCACAAAGACCCCTAAGAAGTTAACAATCACCTCCAGTACCACATTGCTCGTGTAGCCATAAGGTAAACCGTGTACCTGGACCCAAACTTCCAGCCAATTCAGGTGTGAAGCCATTACCTCATCGCCTGGAACAGGGGTACAACAAAGAAGCGTTGCATTATCAAAGGCCCACGGTCCTTCGGACAAAATACGCTCATCGTCTTTTCTATGAAAGAAGCGGAACCAAATCAAGCCATCCTCCCCCTGACTAATCTGCATTCCCAGAGCCGGCCTCGAGACAGAAGCTATCACCTGTTTGAACGCTTCAAATTTGTATGGTTTGTCTGTAACGCCCCAAAATATACCCTACAATTATTAATGAATAAATAATCAATTAATCAAATTTGTTTTGATTAAAATAAATTATTGTTGGGCTTTGGGCTGATACGATATTTGTTTTGACATCTAATAAGTCTCATAGAGATAAATCCAATATGTGGACTATTTGTGTGGTCTTGATTGGGAACCTGAGTACAGACCCAAATCAAGAGTAAATAAAGAATTTGTTTAGAATGTAAATATTGAAATGATTTGTTGAAATAAATCATGAGAATAATTGATATGAATTAAATGAGAGAACCTTTTATGAGAAAGGTCAATTAAACCAATTTTGACTCTGTTAAAGTCAAACACCCAAAAATGTGGTGTCAGAAAAAGTATAACGAATGAATATAAAAATTATATCGTTGGATAGAGTTCGACTGTCTAATCGCAACGGTGCAAACGGATTTCAATTTGGAGAAAGTTGGACCGAAAAGTGTACCCCGACTGGGACCAAAAATTAGTCTCAATCAAGGACTACACACCAAACAGCGTCCTGTGTGAGGTCGCCGGAGCAGAGAGATATAGTTGCCGGAAGTTTCGCCGGAAAATATTCAAAACCTTCATTTACCTTCGAGGTAAGCCCGTAGATATATCTAATTACTAGAATGTTCATATAGGTCGTTTCTACGTTCATAAATGGTCATTTGGTTGAGTTTTGTG